AAAAAAAAAAACCCTCAAGGTACCTAGATCTGTGTGTGCACCCACCTGATTAGATCATACCTAAATGATTTTGCTACTATGTAAATGGGGAGGGGAGAAGAACATATGCTGAGCACAGAACACACAATGGAACTCCATGCTGGGTTGCTGAGCTTACCAAAGGTAAAAGGCAGAGAGTTAATGTCATCCTAGAAAGTGGCTTTAATTATCTATAAAAACCTTGGTTTTTCATTACTATAGGATTAAGTCCAATAAATTAGTATTATTTTCCATTTGAAACTCACTGCCGTTTATTCAAGTGGTTAGTAAATAAAATGGTTGGTTGGTATCAGAACTGTGTTGTATTTAAACTGTGTTTTCTACTGGGTTTCCTTTAGCCAAACACCTAGAGTTTATGTTTTCAAAGACATATGGCAGGCTTCCACCTGTACCTTGCTAACCCTATCAGATACGGATTGAGCCAATCAATGTGTACCCACCAAGTATGTTTTCATGGCGCATTAGCACAGTTTGGTAGATTTCTGTTTCTCGAAACCAGCTAGCTTCTTCCGTGGTAAAGAATACCTTCACTGCCACTTTTTCACCACGCCATTTGCCCATCCACACTTCTCCATATCGTCCTTTACCAACTTGCCGAACCATCTGGATCTGTTTGGCAATAGTTCGCTGAACCTTAAAGGAAAAAAGAAAAAGTAAGAGGGCTTGAGTTCTTGATAAAAAGAACCACTAAGACTTGGCAAAAGGGTCTGACAGCCTATCCCATCAAAAAGCATGGTATATCCAACCAACCAATTTTGATTGTAAAACTTACAATATACTTATTACAAAAGCATGAAACAATGTACAGTGTGTTCTGAAATTATAAACTAACAGGTTAGTAAACGTAGCAGACTGTAAAAATGGTCATCATAATTTGCCTCTTAGTATATCCAGCCTTGGGTGATCTCTGCAGATTCTTCGCATGAATTGCTCTGGGCAACAAAACAGCAGCAAAGGTGATGCAAGCAAAGACCTGACAATTGTTTATACAGTGGGGCTCGCCCATTCTGGCAGTTGTGGGAACCCTGTGACTAGTGGACAGCACCATGTGAACTGCCAGCCATATGTATGAACTGTATCACCTAGCTGTAGCTCAGCAAGTCCAGAAAAGGAACTGCCCGGTGTTCTGGGTCCACTAACCCAGAAGAAATCATATATATTTGTTGCTTCAAGGCACTAAGTTTTGTTGTGGTTTAATATACAGCAAATGTAAACAACAGTTAAAAATCTTGAACTCAGGCTGGGTGCAGTGTCTCATCCCTGTAATCCCAGCACTCTAGGTGGCTGGGTGGGTGGACTGCCTGAGCTCATGAGTTTGAGACCAGCTTGAGACACAGCAAGATCTCATCTCTAAAAGTAGCTGGGTGTTGTGGTGAGTACCTGTAGTCCTAGCTACCTGGGAGGCTGAAACAAGAGAATCACTTGAGCCCAAGAGTTTGCTGTGAACTGTGACACCATGGCACTCTACTGTGGGCTACAAAGTGAGACACTGCATCAAACAAAAAAAAAAAGATCAATGTAGGCACGGCACCCATAGCATAGTGGTTATGGCACCAGTCACATAACTGAGGCTGGAGGGTTCAAACCCAGCCCAGGCCAGCTAATCAACAATGACAACTGCAACAAAAAATTGTGGAGGGTAGTGATAGTCCCAGGTACTTGGGAGGCTGAACCAAGAGAATTGCTTAAGCTCAAGAGTTGGAAGTTGCTATAAACTGTGACGCCATGGCACTCTACCGAGTGTGACATAATGAGACTCTGTCTCCAAAAAAAAAAAAAAAATTCAATGTGTTTACTTTTAATTAATGCAATTAAACTAAAAACCCAATTGGTGTTATAGAGTCAAATAGAGTCCTTCCAACCTTTAAATCTGAGTATTTCCATATATAAAAGCTGTTGGAATTACTTAAAATATCCTTTAAAATTATTTTTATTGGATTTGTGCTGTGGTTATGCAGTATTACTTTGACAAAAGTATCCTTTCTATGAAGATCTATGAGAGAGGGGCAGCACCTGTGGCTCAGTGGGTAGGGCGCCAGCTCCATATACCGAGGGTGGTGGGTTCAAACCCTCTCCCAGCCAAATTGCAACAACAAAAAAAATAGCCAGGTATTGTGGCAGGCATCTGCAGTCCCAGCTACTCAAGAGGCTGAGGCAAAAGAACGGCCTAAGCCCAGGAGTTGGAGGTTGCTGTGAGCTATGTGACGCCATGGCACTCTACCGAGGGTGATAAAGTGAGACTCTATCTCTACAAAAAACAAACAAAAAAATCTATGAGAGAAACTTCTCTTTCAATCTGAAGTAACTATACATCCCTCAAACCAATCAGTTTAACTCTGTAACGCAAGGAATCTCACACCTGCTTTCTCTTCAGCTCTCTGCACTCTTGCACTATATGCATACCGGGCTTCATGATCTGACTCTCTGTATAGGGCTTGTTCCTATCCTTGTTTATGGCTCTCTCTTACTTGCCCAGTCTATTTTTCATGATTCATAATTCTTAACTAATTTCATTGCATGCAGCTTTCTAAATAAGGAGAAAATGAGGTGTCTACTGTTGTTCCCTAATCTGCAATAATCATGCTTTGCATCGTCATCTGAGGACACATTCTACATCAACACCCTATTCATGTGTGTATGAAACATAGGCTTACCAATAATGGCAGTCCAGATCCACTACCAGAACTCTGTGACTGGTCAATAAGGTCTTTTAATGATTCTCCAACTGGAATAAATGCTTCATCTTGTTCCAAATCACGATTATAACGACGTCTGCTAGAGATACTCTTGCAATAATGTCTTTTAAAAAAGCAGAAAACAATCTATGTTAAAATTCTTAAACTATTAAATTCTGAGGTAAGAAAAACTGAGGTTTTTTATACCATCATCCTTCCTTCACACAGAATCATACTCAAATTAGCTCATCACAAGACAGTACATCCTCTATTAAAATACATCTAAAAATAGAGTTTATGAGGTAGCATCCTCTGCATCATGTTAAAATGAAAACACATCTATGATGTATCGGCAAGTGAAAAAAAACACATCAAAATCAGCATGTAAAGCACCATCCTAGCTATACAAAAATTTTAAATTATGTATTTTTGCATACATCTAAAAACATCAGAAAGGATATGCAGCATAGGAAAATTCACTTTCTACTTCACTTTTTTTTGAGACAGAGCCTTAAGCTGTCCCCCTGGGTAGAGTGCTGTGGCATCAAAGCTCACAGCAACCTCCAACTCCTGGGCTTAAGGGAATCTCCTGCCTTAGCCTCCCAAGTAGCTGGGACTACAGGTGCCTGCCACAATGCCTGGTTATTTTTTGGCTG